TTTTTTTTTTTTTTTTTTTTTCCTTTTCACTATCATAGTCACTCTTGTGAATCCAAACATAAAAAGACAAGTCCAACCACAATGCAACAGGGTGCAGATGGGGAGGGAAGGGCAACATCTATGTATATGTTCAGCTGCTCCCACAGACCAGACAGCATCACTTCCGGCTGGGACTCGGGTAAGAACCATTTCCAAGGGGCACTTTCTTCATTTGGGGCTTTGGAGGGCTGATTCCATGTGTGTGGAGTTGAACGGCATGGGACTCTGACGGTTGGCAAGCACAAGCTGGGTGGAGTGGGGACAGGGAGTGTGACCCTACCCTAAGTCTCGCCTGCCCATCCTGATGCCATCGGTGACAACCAGGACACACCCTTCCTTCTGCTGCCAGCTCAACATAGGAAGGCCTGGGAGCAGACCTGGGGCGGCTCTCCAAGTTAATGAGGCGAAAAACATCTAAGATCAAGCCCGAGTAGCCCCACCTTGGCTCATGTGCGATGGGAGGAGGGGAGAGAACCAAACGAGGTCACTAGATTTCCTGTGGCAGGCACATCAGTTGGATGAGTGGAATTAGAGCTAGAGATTGAACCTAGCCCTTGTACCTGGACACTTACTGCAGTAGGTGTCCCCACATCTAACCAGTGTCCATGACCGGGAGTGAGGAAGGTAGGGCCCTTGGCCAGTATGATGTAATGAGGGGTAAGACAGTGACTGGGCTCCCACAGCAGACATGGGCGCAGAGGGACAGGCAGAGGGGCCGCAGTGGCCATGAAAGGGATGAGAGGATCAGGACCCACCGCCCAGACATACCCCTCCCCGACATTCCCTGGATGCCGAGGCCCAGGCTGGGAAGGATTAGCTCCCAGGAGGCACAAGTCCTTACAGAGAGGACTGGTTAGAGCCCTCAAGTCCCGGGGCTACGGTTCCAAACCTTCAGAACTCAGTATGACCGTCAGGGTTTCTGCAGGAAGGGAGACGCGGCCTGGCCCAGAACTCCCACCCTGCAAGGGAGGGAGAAAAAGGCTGGGTTTCTGAGGCGTAAAGGTCAGTCTCTGAAGAAGTAAACCACAAGGTGCCCCTCCCACTGACCGTCCCTCCCCTGCCTCCTGTTTCTTCCACCCAGGACACCCTCCAGAGGGGCGCACGACACCCACACAGAGAAAAGAAGCCATAGGTGGGAGACCGCGGTGGGTCACTGAGATGGCAGGCCCTTCCCGCTGCCCTTCCCCGACACTCCGCAGGGGCCCGTGTCCCCTCTCCAGTCCCTCGCACCCAGCCTTTCCTCCCTTGCCCACCCTGACCCACCCCGCCACCCCTCCGAGGGCTGCTGTCATCTGCCTGTGGCCCCAGTACCAAGTTTCAAACCCTTTGTTGTTGCTGCTGCCCCGTGACACCCCCAGGAGGGGGCCAGAGGCAGTGAGCGCCCCACTCCCTTGAAACTCCCCCAAAACAGCTTTCTAAGCCTCTCCTTCACTTTCTTCTACTCGGGAAACAAAAAGAGTCAAAAAGAATTGCCCAGAAAATGTTGGGTGTGGCGGTGCTTTTATATATTTTAAAAAACAGTAGCCCACTGATCAATTGGAAAGATGAAATTTGCTCTTATTCCTGTCACTGATTTTGAAGTCCCGAACCGAGCCGAGCGACAAAAGCAGGTTAGGTGGTGTCCCTCTGTACCCATCTGTGAGGAGCAGCGCGGGGGAGGGCAGAGGCAAAGGGCCATGTCAGTGTTCTTTTTTTTCCCACACTCTCTCTCTCTCTTTTCTCTCCACGATTATTGACCTCCCCCGGGCCTGATCACAAACCCTGCTTGGCCAGGGAAGCAGACACCTCATCAGCCAGCGTGGCGAGCTGCAGCGAGTCCACCATGTTGATGCTGCCGGTGGAAGACACGTTGCTGAGGTGCCGCGGAGACGTGTCGCCAGACACCGCGGGGGACTTGTACACGATTTCTGCCCCGTGATCTGTCTTGGCTTTGGCGTTCTCTCGGAAAGTCAGCTTGTGGGTCTCAATCTACAGGGACGATATGGGGAGGACAGGGTGAGGGGGCTGCCGGGGAAAGGACAAGCCTGCCAACGGCTCTCCCCGGTCCGCCTCGGGTGGGAGAGAGCTGGGTCGGAGATTGTCTTCCAACTGACAGTACTTGTGCAGGACCCTTCCCGCGCCTGCCTCCCCAGAGAGAGTGCCCTGCAGAGCTACCCCACACGTATGCAGATGTGTTGTTTAATTCGTATAGTAACGACAGACACGTGTTGGCACTTTGGCTTTTTTTTTTTTTTTTTTTTTGATACCGGAGATTAAACTCAGGACCTCGTGTTTGTGAGGCAGGCGTGGTGCCACTGAGCTAAATCCCTAGTCCAGCACTTTGGTTTTTAAACTTAATGTCTTCTGTCCTCGGTACAGAGAGCTTTCTCATGCTTGCTGATGGCTGCTCAGTATATGTCGTCACAGAAGACGAGTCCAAAGTTACCTACTCCCCTGCAAGTGGATAAAGAGTTCCAGTTTTTGCTGTTGCAATGTTGTGTGTGAATAACCCTTAGTAATCTTGTGCACACACCATTTCATATGCAAGTGTATCTTAGAAGCAAAGGCATTTTTTGGAGGTACTGGGGCTCAAACCCAAAGTCCCACACATGCTAGGCAAGCCTTGAACCGATGGCCTACACCCAAGTTCTGTGTGTTGTTTTGCTAGATTACTGCCCACTTGCAACTGAAAGTCTTAACAGAAGATCTGCAGATCAAGAACTGTCTCCAGGAGTCCTAATGTAGCCAGCAGTCCCAAAGCAGACTGGGAAACTTGGAAGTGGAAAGCATCACCTGGAGGTGTGAATGGTACATAATTAACCCACAGCAGCAGACACTGTAATTTTTGTTTTTTTGTTTTGTTTTTGAGACAGGGTCTTACTATGTAGTTGAGACTGATCTGGAACTCACTATGTAGTTCAGGCTGGTCTCAAACTCACCACGATCCTCTCTTTTTTCGTTTTTTGAGACAGGGTCTCACTATGTAGTTGAGACTGACCTGGAACTCACTGTGTAGCCCAGGCTGATCTCGAACTCTCCGCGCGATCCTCCTGCCTCAGCCTCCCAAGTGCTGGGATTACAGGCGTGCGCCACCACACCCGGCTGTAATTCTCAATAGTGCTTTTTGTCCTCAACTCGGCGTCTGATGAAGCCAGAAGGAATGTGTACAGATGTGTACCCATACAACTGCAGGCTCTGTGGACCGTGTGTGCAGAGCCCTTGTTGCGGGGCTTGAATGTGCTTGTACAGAAAACCTCAGCCTCCCAAGTGCTGGGATTACAGGCGTGCGCCACCACACCCGGCTGTAATTCTCAATAGTGCTTTTTGTCCTCAACTCGGCGTCTGATGAAGCCAGAAGGAATGTGTACAGATGTGTACCCATACAACTGCAGGCTCTGTGGACCGTGTGTGCAGAGCCCTTGTTGCGGGGCTTGAATGTGCTTGTACAGAAAACCCGGACTCCCATTGAAGCCACAGGCATACATCTCTCTCCTTGGGTTTTTATTTGTTCTGCAGTACTGGGACTGAATCCAGAGCTTTCACAGTGTGCTACATCCTCAGCCCTTACTTATTTTTACTTTTATTCTGAGACAGGGTCTACCTAAGTTGCCAGGCTAGGCTCCTGCCTCAGCCTCCCAGAGTACTGGGATTACAGCTGTCCACCATTATGCCTGGCTAGAGCCACTACTCTGAAAGAGACACTTTCCATACTACCATGTTTGAAAGGCTATTTGACAAAAATTTTGATAAAAACACTTTCTTTCTTTGGGAAAAGTTTTGATAAGAACACTTTCTTTCTTTCTTTTTCTTTCTTTCCTTCTTTCCTTCCCTCCCCTTCCTTCCTTCCTTTTTCTTTCCCTCTCCCCTCCGCCTTTCTTTTTCTCTTTGAAGATTGGGTCTCCCTATGTAGCCCAGGCCAGCCTGGAATTTGCAAATCCTCTGCCGCAGTAGAAGAGATTACAGGCCTGTACCATCAAACCTAGCTTTACGTTAATGTTTCTTTAAAGGCTTTGTTTCTTACCACCACCACCCCCGAAAAAAGCAATAGATACCTAGGAAGTTTAAAATTTCCCAAACTGAAAGGAACCCAGGGGGCTGACCCTGTACAGGCTCCACTGACTGTCAGCAGTTTTGCTCATCGAACCAGGAGATGAATCTGAGGAGGAGGCTCTGTTAGGCGGCCCCAGGATGGTTTTTCTGAGCAGGGGCTGGGGTCTGCCTACCCTTTGTGGGCCATCACAGAACTGAGGAAGCAGCAGAGGAGTTGAGAAGTCTGGACTCCATGGTGTCCCTAACTCAGGTTCTCAGAGGACTGGGACATACCAGGCAGCCTCTGGGCCAGTCTTATTTGGTCGCAAGCCCACTAGGATGAAGCTGTTCCCATCCCATTTTGCTGAAGAAGAAATAGAGCTTGAAAATCTGCAGAGCTCCTCTAAATGACATCTCCAAGCACAGTCAAGCCTGGCACTTTTTCCAGAACTCTCCAGAGACAGGCAGAAATCTTTCTCTACCCAGGGAATCTCAACAACCTAGGCTGGCCCCAGGCATACTGAACCAGGCTCTGGGTTGGCGCCAGATGAGAGAATCACTGAAGTATCCCAGGCCAGGAGGCCACCAGGGTAGGTGTGGGACAGAATGGTGGAGCCCTGGGCTGTGGCAGAGAACCTTCTCTGCTTCTTAGAGCACTGGGCTCTGCCCTGTGTTCAGGTACATGGCTCCTGCCCCTCTATCTTCCTACTTCTGACAGTGACCCAGGTACTGGGAAGGGTTCCGGCACCTGAGGCTCCACAAGTACCACAGAAGCTTGTTTTACCTGGTCTTCCATAGACACCAGACTGGGCACCCTAGGGAGCTAGAAAGCGTTGGGGGCCAGGACTCCTCGCCTCCACTCAGCCCTGCGGGGGGCCCGTTCCGGGGTGATCATACCAGCAAATGCTTCCCCACAAAACTATGCTGTGGGCCTAACAACACATATGGGGGGTGGCTGCCCACTCGGAACCAGGGGCAGAGGTGGTGGGGTTGCAATGGAGGGCAAGGGTGTGCTGTGGCAACAGCCGAGGCAGGGGCTCCAGGCTGCCACCCAGCACAGCATGGTGGGAAGAGCCCCACTGCCACCTCCTGCCAGCTGTGCCACCTTCAGCAGTGCCCCTTCTCACAGTTCTCCCTCACCGCTCCCCGGTCAGCTGCAGGAGCCAGAAAGGGAGCCGCCTCCAGGACCCCAGGGCAGGTGCGGGTGGGAAGCCCCGGGAGATTGCTGCAGCCGCAGCTGTGTGTGCAGCCACACGGACACAGTGTGCAGGGCCGGGGAGGTTTCGCAGGTGCAGCACAGACAACCATGGCCCGGGGCCGCTGGGCACGTCACGGTCCGGCAGCCTCCGTGCGGACACTTCCATGATGGACAGGCAGGGATTTTAGCATCACTGCTTTGTGTGAACTCTCTAGCAACCAAATTAGAAAATTACGAATGTTCCTAGGACTTGGTGCCCAGGGCCAGCCTTGGGAACCGTTACGTGCTCTCGTGTGTGCTTGGAGCCCCAAGGCCTAGGACGGTGATTCTCACTTTTGATGACACTAAAAGTCACATGGCAGCTTTAAAAACTCCAGACACCCATTTGTACCCAAAACCAATCAGCCCAAATCTCCAGCCTCACATTTGTTAAAGCTCCTAAGTGACTGCAACCGGCAGCTGACACCTGGACCCAATGTCGCAGCTGTTGCCGAGAGTCCGCACTGAGCCAATCTATAGAAGATCCTTCACTTCCTCCTTCAAAAGCTGGACCAGCCTGGTCCAGGCAACGCCCATATCTGACTGTGGCCTCCTCCCCGACCTGCCCCCTTTACCTTCTTATTTCCTCCACCAGGGACATGGGTGATATTATCCAGGGACCCGATCTTCGACTGGACCCTATCCTTGAAGTCCAGCTTCTCAGATTTCACTTCTACCTGGCCACCTCCTAGAACACAAGACACAGAAAAGCCTCTTCTGTGGTTTAGTGGTCTCAGCCTAATTCACTGAGGTTTGCAGCCTACAGAGCCAAGTGCCAGGACCTGCTGGGGCACAGCAAAATAAGTCAGGTCGCACTACTCTGCAGGGGAGCACTTGACGGGACTTTCACCGCGATTCCGACAGAGGCCCAGCAAGTGATTCCAAGCAGAGGCCGCCCTTTAGGAATTGAGAAGCCCCTCTCATCAGAATGGTTTGGATACAAGTAGGTCCTTGCAAAGGGCTTTAAAACAGTTTGCCTCCTCCTTTTAATCAAAGTATGCATCAAATATTTACTCTGCAAACTCTTCCTCCTTAGATGTTACAAAAGTAAACTCATACCAGGGGAAATTATGTTAAATTCTAAATTGGCTGACTTCCAACAAGAGAAGTCTTTTAATATCAACATCAAGTAAGCTACAACCCGACAAGACCTTGGAATCCAACTGAATGTCAAACTAAAGATCCTGACCCTCTCTCTCCCTCCCTCCCTGGCCTTTCATGCTATGTAGCCACTAAAATTCGAGTTAAGTAAAATTAGTTTCTCAGCTGCACTAGCCACACTTCAAGTGCTCCTTAGCCACATGGGGTTAGTGACTACACTAGCCAGCACCGGTTTCTCTATAGTGCAGGGTGAACAGTAACATGGAGGAGCTCTAGTGGCCTCATTTTCTGTTTTTAAAAAGCCACAGCCAGAGCATAGCAATGGCCCCGGGGTCTCATGTTGCAGCTGGGGTGTGAAGCATCCCATGTTGTCTTGGGACTCCTTTAGGGGCCAGATCAGGCCCACTGCCAGCCCTCGACACCTTGTGCACAGCCTGCTGGAGAACCGCGGTTGAGCTAAGACCTGATTTCCCCTCCCTCCACACCTCACCCTGGCCAGCACAGTCCCACTCAGGGATGGAGCAGCCGAGCACCCCAGGCCCCAGCAAGCTGCGTATTTAACACTCAGCCTATGGGTCCTTCCCAGCCGCTTCACCCGCCCTGTCCCTCCCACCTCAGCACCTTCCTGTCCCAACCCTCGCCTTTAGCAAGGGCTACCTGGTTTATGGTGGATGTTGCCTAACGAGCCACACTTGGAAGTCACCTTGCTCAGATCCACTGGTTTGTAGACTATTTGCACCTGGAGGTGAGAGACGATAAGAGAGAAACAGAAAGACAGAGAAAATAACATGGGATTATTTTGTGATGGGCGGAACGCAAGAGCAGCAGCTGTAGAAGCCTGGGCCACTCAGTCAGTGGTTCCTACCTGCAGCAAGAAGCACACTCAGTCAGGGTGGGAGAATGTGTTGTGAAAGTTTGGCCAACCTGCCCCAAGGGAACTGGGTCTTGGCAGAATAACTGTGGGATTGGAATATCTCCGATCCCTGAAGAGCAAAAGGCCCTCAGGGAAAAATAGGTACACCTGGCCATTGTGAAGGGTCATACCATTTATTTAGCAAATACGTCAATGTAAAAAAGTGACTCCCTTTCCTGACATGCAATCAACTGATCACATTCAGTGAAGACACAAAGGAAAAAGTGACCGACGTGATCAGTATGTGCCCCTTTACAAAGTCTCCCTGGAAAGGCCAGAGAGCAGTATCAGCCGGGCCTGGGAGAAGAGAGGCCTTGAGCATAAATGGGTGGGTTCCATTCCAGGAAGCATCCGCAGACCTCAGGTTCCCCACCAGGGCGAAATGGTCTTCAGGCAGGGCCCAGAGAAGCTGAGAGCCCAGGGTAAGAGCCAACCTGCACTTGGACATGCACAGTCCTGGACATTTCAACCTTTACCAAAAGGAGCAAAGTGACACCAACACGATGGGCAGGTGCTCAGCAGAACCACTGATTTACTGTCTCAGCCAATGAGGAGACTCAGACACACAGGGAGCCTGCAGGCACCAGGGCTCAGAGCCAGCCCAAGGGCCCAGTGCCCTCCTTCAGGGAATGGCAGCCTCTGAGCCACCCACTGATCTCAGCTCCCGAGGGGTAAAAGCCATGGCTGTGAGGGGCCTGGTGGCCAGTTACTGGGTCCTAGAGTCCTCTCACACTGACCTCGCGTGGACACAGGAGGCTCCAGCAGAGAGGTGGCCTCAAAGTGTGACAATCAGCTCAAAGCCAGCAGAAAAAGGAGTTTCTGGGGCCAGGGATTTAGCTCAGTGGTGCCACCGCCTGCCTTGCAAGCACAAGGCCCCAAGTTTGATCCCCGGTACCAAAAAAAAAAGAAGGAAAACGGAGCTTGTACTTAGGTCCAAATGGAACCATCACATTATTTTAGTTTGAAGCCGCGCTGGCATTTGCTGTTGACTGATGGAGAGGTAAAAGAAGCACAGGAACGTGTGAGGAGGATGAGGGAGTGCGGCCTGTACCTGAGGTGGCAGGGAGGAACAAACCTTCATGATTTCACCTCCAGGTCCCCGGGTGTTAAGTTCGCTCACAGCAGACCCAGAGGGCTGTGGAGCAAGGAGGGGCCTGAGAGAATTCTGAGGACGAATTTGGACACTGGCCAGCCAGGAGGATGACAGCATCTCTGAGCTCATGGAGGAGGTAGGTGGGGAGTGAGGGTCTGAGTCCCTCATTTCACAGGGTCACACCCCCCGGGGATGAAGGGGGTCCTCCAGGATATTTGGAAGAAGCTAAAACGTTTTGTTTTTCTGAGACAGTCTCGCTTACATAGTTCAGGCTGGCCTTGAACTCGCTACATAGCCCAGACTGGCCTCAAACTCACTGTGATCCTCTTGCCTCAGCCTCCCAAGTGCTGGGATTACAGGTGTGCGCCACCCTGCCGAGTTTACTGGACGAAGCCACAATTAGAGGGTAAGGACCATCTGTAGACAAGTCTGGGGACAGCATGAGCTGGGCTGGGTGGACAGAAGGCAGATGGGGCAGCTGAAGCAGTGCTGCTGTGATCAGAGCCACACTCCCTTCCCTCTGGCCAGGGCAAGGTCAATAGTGAGAGGGAACCAGGATGAGGCAGGGGCAGGAGATGGAAGCCGGAATGAGCAGAGGAGCAAGGGATAATGGGTAGGCCCCTAGGCGGTGGTCAGGAAGACTAGAGCAGGTTGTGGGGGGCAGACAGACACTTGGAGAGGAGCCTGGAGCCCAGCTGGGAGGGTGGCACCCGAAGCAGAGGAGCCCTTCCAAGCTGGGGAGGGGCAGAGAGCAAGGGAGAGGCAGGATCCAGTGCCCCAAGATGCCAGAGGCTGACAGGGTACAAGGGCTCATAACCACCGTCAACTTTCTCCAGAAAGGCTTTCTCTGAAGACCAAGGAGGGTGCTCAGGGTCAGCCTGGGCTATCTCGTGGCTCTGTGTAAGGTCACAGGCTAGCCCACAGGCTGGCACAGGGCAGGACATAGGGAAGGAAGACCCATGTGTCCTGGGCACTACAACTTCTTTGGGACCATCAAGTACCTGTCACCAGAAGGAGTAGGCCACACTCTTCATGTACTCTGTCTTCCTGCTGTCCCCTGCAGGAGCATCTGCCTTCTGGGGCCGATCGCCCTGCCAGACAGCTGAACATGAGCCAAACCATAAAGCATGTGGCCTTCTTCTGTGGCCTGAGCAGACATCAGCAGGAGCAGCCAGAAAGCAGGACTCAAAGCTAGAATCCCTCAAACAGCAGCTGCACAGGGGCCCAGGTGCAAGCAATGGGCAGTGGGTGGGTGTTGCCTGCAACTTCCTCTCTCCTCTTGGCAGAAGACAAGTAAGTGGGAGGGACAGGAGCATAGGGAGTGGAGACAGTGGAGACATTTAGCAGACACTAGAGAGGAAGCCTTAGTAAGGCCTGCAGCAGCCGCAGGGCAAGCACTTGCTGTTTCGAGGCCTCAGAGCAGGAGGAGGTCAGGAGCTCAGGGCTAGAGGCTGCACATTGCAAGAATAAACCCTCTCTAGGCCAGATGCAGCCAGGCTCATGTTCTGGAGGGAAAGCCCAGCCAGGAGGCTCCAGCAGTCACACGATGCTGCCTGCTAGCAGCCAGGTCCTTTCTCTCAGAACCCAGCCTCCCTCCATTTTTTCTAGACAGGATCTCACCAAGTCACTGAATTTCCCAGGCTGGGCTCAAACTTGTAATCCTCCTGCCTCAGCCTCCCAGAGTGCTGGGATTGCAGGTGTGCGCCACCACGTCTAGCTAAGGATCTGGACCTCCCCCCAGTTTCCCAGCTTGTTGGGCTCACTCACAGCTGACCCAGAGAGCTGGGATGAGTTGTGCACACACTTCCCCGTGGACACAGGGAAGCAGCAGGAAGGCCTGCATCCGAGCCCCCACAGCTCTCAGGGTCACACCCCTGCGACCCAGGGCATTCCCAGGGACATTTGGAAGGAACCAAATTTAGAATGGCTGACAGTGCCACTTCTCTGTCAAACCGACCGCAGGCAGAGTCACCTGTGACACTTCTGTCTGGCTTTATGCATCTGGAGTCTGCCTGAGAGTGGAGCTGGTATAAACCAGAAGACAGAGTGGAGCAGAGAGTGGGCCCTCTTATCCTTAGGGTGGGACAGTAAGACCTCTGTGCCTGCTGGTCAGAGCACATGGGCCACCTGCCCACACTAGAGCCACCCGAAGTGAACCTGCCCGGCAGGTGGGGTGGGGGAGGTGACACAGCCCAGTCCCAAATGCCGTCACCTTCCTCCGAGCTTCTAATGGGCTGTGGAGCTCCTGGGGGCAGCTCCCGGGCAGGGAGTGGGGTCAGTGATGGGCATCATGCTGTGAGGGCCCCAGAGAGGGGCCAGTGAGAGGATCAGCCAGCGTCTCTGTTCTGCCCCCGCAGCCTCACAACCAGAGCCCTCTCCGGAACACGAGGAAGGGGGCCCGGGAAACAGTCAACACGGTGTGGGATTCGGATCCTGAGTCGCATTGTCCTGGGGTACACGGGGAGCTCCTGAGCCCGAGATGATTTATTCTATGCAATGCCTTGCAGGTCTATACACTCATGCCACTTCTCAAGACTGAGACCACTGAACGGTGCATGGAAAGTGTGAAGGTACTCACACTGCCGCCGCCCGGGACGTGTTTGATATTATCCTTTGAGCCACACTTGGACTGGACGTTGCTAAGATCCAGCTTCTTATTAATTATCTGCACCTTTGATAGCCAGAAAACAGGATGAGTGACACACCACACACGCATCCGTCCGCACTGCACCGACCCTTGCTTCCGGTCCTGTGCTCTGTGCACAGTGTCCGGGGAGGGGCAGGTTGCCCGAGAAGAACTGCTAATTGTACAACCGTGGGATTACAAGACAGACCCCAGGAGGTGGGTCCTTGCTTTACAAAAGATGTGTGTGTGGAAAGGCTCCCTCCAAAAGCACTTAGGGGCCTGTAAGTCAGAGATGAAGGCTGGGATGGCAGAGAATGTGCCCACATACATCCATGGATGAGCCATAAGAAGTCCCTGGTGTCTTCGTCACACACCCTCCGCGCGGGGCAGGGCACCTCGGAGAACCCTCGCGACTGTTCTCAGGCCTGCTGCGCACTGGAATCACCTGTAGATTTTCTCTGAAAGAAAACTCCAGGCCTGCTGGGTGTGGCTTAGTGGTGGCAGCCCTGGCCTAGCACATGTGAGGCCCTGGGTTCCATCCAGGAGCTTGAGGGGAACCTCAGACCCATGCTTGACATAGGCTCGGAATCTTCAGGAGTAGGCCTTAAGTCACTACACTTGGGACAAGTTCCCCCGTAACGGCCACACAGCTAGTTCTGAGAACCCTAACCTCCTGGGTAACTCACACAGGGCCTCACAGAGGGGACAGATGGCGTCCCGCACAGGAGGGCTCTCATCTGTGGAAGGTGGGAACGTGCCCTCCTCCCACCCTCTTCTCCCTCACCTACCCCAGGCACCCACGGGAGCCTGAGCCTGACCCTGCTGTGCTCTGTTCTCAGTGGCTCTGGAAGTGGGTTTGGCTACCTGGCCCCACTGCTGCATTTCTGGGGTTTCCTCTTTGGCACCGGGGAGAAGCACAGAGGTGATTTTTCCCTCATTCGTCTAAAAATTATTAAATGAGCAACCATAGCCCAGAGAGGGAGAGTGAGAAAACTCTGCATTCTGTCTGCTGGACCAGGGATGCCGCCTGCCTCCCTGTCTCCCCCACTTAGGGACTCTGCATGGAAATAGTGTCTCCTGGTTTTTATTTAATTAAACGTAAATCAGGGCCAACTGGAGCTCCTAATTAAGAACCAGCAGTGCTGCTCTGGTTCCTGAAAATCTGAAAGTAAAACTAGACCTCAGTTGGTGCCTTTTTGAATGCTGGGGCCGGGGGACCAAGAGCTGTGGAGACAGGTTGGGGACCAGGCGCCACAGGCTTCCAGCCCTGCCCCTGTAAGTCTAAATGTTAGTGGTCTGAATCTGAACGCCTCAGAATCACACATCTAACCCACCTCTTCATTCTCTTTTATGTTCCTTTAAATAAAAACAAAAGCAGGAGCCAGGCATGGCGGCACACACCTGCAATCCCAGCATTTTGGGAGGCTGAGGCAGAAGGATCCAAAGTTTGAGCCCAGCCTGAGCAATTTAGAGGCTTAACAAGACCCGTCTCAAAAATAATTTTATATCTATCTATCTATCTATCTCATATCCGTATCCATATCTATATCTCAGTGTTTTCCTAACATATCTCAAAGCCCTGGGTACCAACCCTAGTCCCGAAAAAAAAAACAAACAAAAAAAACAACAACAACAAAACCCTATTTTTTTCATTAGAAAACAACACAGTTTTTGAAAACAGAGGTTTAAAAAACAAAAACAGTTGCTTTATCAATCTAACACAACCGCTATTACATTTAATTCAATTTCCTTGAGTCTTGCTTGTATATAACTATCACCTATATATACAAATGATAAATTTATTGTGCACATATAATTTAGAATCCTGCTTTATCCAGTAACATATACCCTAAGCATTAGTAGTAATATTAATATTAGTATTTGTTGCCCAAGTTGGCTTTGAACTGCTGGGCTCAAGGGACCCTCACATTTCAGCCCCAAAGTGGCTGGGGCTATAGGCTTTGGCCACAGCGACCCACTAGGCATTATTGTTTTTTTTTGTTTGTTTTTTTTTTTTCAGGTACTGGGGATTGAACTTAGGACCTTGGGCTTGCAAGGCAAGTGCTGCACCACTGAGCTAAATCCCTGGGACCTAGGCATTATTATTAATACTATGTGCTATCCTGTTTTGTGGATATTGTTCCTGTATCATCATCAAAGCACCTGCACTGATTCCACTGTAAATAATTAGTGTCCCATGAACATCTTCCTGCAAGGGATTCTTTTCCACCTTATGGATTATCTTCATAGCAGAGTCCTAGAAATAGAATTTCTGGGTCAAAGTTATAAATATTCTGAAAACTCTCAATATGACTTTCCAAATGGCTTTCTAAAAGGGGTGGATTGACTTTCCCTGTGAACAGTATTGAGAAAGCCAGCTTACTTACTGCTGCCAGCACTGGTTATTTAAATAATTGTTTTGGCTCTTACCAACTTGGTTATTTCCAGGCAGAGATGAGCTCTTCCAGGCCAAGGCCAGGGTTGGCAGCCAAAAAGCTTGGGCTGGATTCTGCCTCGCCCACTGAGCCTGGGTAATCAATTTAAGCCCTCTTTGCCTCAGTCTCCCCATCTGTAAAATGGGAACAACAGCACTGACCTAGATGCCTGAGAGGTGAAATGAGTTAGCACCGAACATAAGGCCTGGACATAGGAACTGTGCAGGAAGTGGTAGCTATTAATATCACTCTCACCTTGGAATAACTCAAAATTGTAGGTATAATGCAATTCCATTAAAATGGTTTTGCTTATTTCTTTGACCAAAATAGCACAGATACGCCGTTGGCTTTTCTGCACGTCGTTCTTACTGAATTGCTCCTTTACTCTCCTGTTGCGTTGGTAGGTATGTTTCTTCTGGCATACAAATGTTTACATTTTTATATGCTCAAATTTCTTTATAATTTCTGCTCTGGTGTTTAAATTCGGAGTTGGATAAAGTGACTCTGTATGGCTTTTGTTGTTGTTGTTGTTGTTGTTGTTACCGGGGATTGAACTTGGGACCTTGTGGCTGTGAGGCGAGCGGTGGAACCACTCAAGTGGCTTTTTGTGCCCTCCGGCACCCTGGTTTATAGACTCGGACACAGTCTGAGGGCCGGAGAGGCTCAGCGACTTTCCCAAGAGCTCCGTTCTAGGTATCCGTGTGACGAAGTTTCACCTGAGCTGTCCTGGAGGGTTTTACCTCGCAAACCAATTCATCCAAACCACGCTCCTTTGGGAGGCTGATGTTGTCTCCTGCAGGCCCCAGTGGGGAAGGGTGGGACCTGCTTCTTATACCGCCCCCTAGGGGTCGCCACCCCCCTCTGCACAATGGCTGTTTCCCGCGGTGCTGGGGGTCCCACCCAGGGCCTGCTTGTATGCTAGGCGAGCTCTGTACCACTGAGCCGCCCTTCATTCTTTTTTTATTTTGAGACAGAAGGTGTCACTAAGTTGCCCAGGCTGACCTCAAACCTGTGATCCTCTTGCCCCAGACTCCAGTGTGCTAGGGTTACAGGCGGGCACCGCTCTGCCTGGCTTCTCCCACATGAATTCCATCTTGGGAATCATTTTTTATTCATAACTTTTCATTGGATAAGTCTCAGAAGCTGCTGTGCTTGCTTTCAGAAAGGAATGAGGGCACTTCGGAATCGGAAAATACACACTCAATGATGAAACAAGAAAACTTAAAGGATAATGTTAAAATAAGGGGAGGTAATCGAGACTGACAATTACAAGACTGATTATTACATTTAGCTCTGAGCTTCCTAGAAGTGAAAGCAAAAATAGAAACATGATGGGTTATATAACTCTCCTTATTTGACAAAGAAAACTTAAGCCAGTTTTTCAAAGAAGATAACCTTGTTTTCCATACTAATCCAAAAAAGAAATTAATCAAGTGAATTAAAGGACAAAGGAACCCCCCCATCTGGCTTTTTCTTGTTCAACCCACCAAAAAGTCAACAAGCTTTTGCAGGATTTGACAATAAACACGAGTATATTTACAAAGCAGACCCGAATTACTGTTAGTCAGTCACCCAATTACGTTAACACCCTTTACAGAATTGTACAGAAAGGGAGAGAAAAGGGCAATGTCTGGCGTTATAAAATTGAAATCCTGAAATCTAATTTCTTAGCTGGAATAACAGACGATACCGAGCTTCAGCTCCGGACAGACACTAGCAGTACTCATCAGGAGAGAGAACAATGTTCTGAGAGCTCCCAGTTTTGAGCAGAGGGACTAGGGAGAGAAGCAACTGTGGCTTAGGATTGACCCTAGAGGAAGAGGCTGCAGCACCGAGTGGGGGCCACTGGGGCGGGTCCATTTTGGCTTAAACCTTTTTCCAGAAAACACAAAGCTGTCCCAGGCTCTAACTAGGCTTTGATCTGGTTCTGTCTGAGCTCAGATTTCTCAGGCCGCTCCCTCCCTGGCCTCAAGTCTCCAGCCGCCCCCAGGATCTCCCAGACCAGCTCTGGCCTGTTTCCAGCACCGCCTGGCCTGCTGGGCCGGGCTGTGCAGTGCTCTGATGGGAAGCTACCTGGGAGGGGCACCGCACGTCCGCAGCAAGCCTGGTCTTCAAGTCCAAGTGATCAGCCTGGGAACTAATATGGGAAGCCCTGTTTCCTATCAAGTCAGTGGCCAAAGAAGAAATCAAATGACAGGGAATCGCCTGTAGAATTATGGGCATTATTCTTTAAACAGTGACTGCCTCAAGCTTCTTCAGGATGACCTTGTTTACGTAAGAGTTTTCAGGAGCACAGACACATAGCGTACAGGACTGGGTGCCGCAGGGTCTCAGGGTTACAGAGCTGTCCCAGGGAGGGTCTGTCTGGCTCTGCTCTTTGCTACTGCAGGACCTCACAGCCTGTCACCGGGTCCCAACCCTGACACAGAAGAGGAGGCAAATTAACCCAGTTTCAGACTCATTTTATTCCACATACATGTTGTACACATACACTTTTAAAGGTGACAACTGGGACTCTGTTAACAAAAGTAAGGCATTTAAAAACACTTCAGTTGGCCGGCGATTTAGCTCAGTGGTTCTGCCGCCTGCCTTGCAAGCACAAGGACCCGA